TTATGCCATTTGTGTAACTGTGCAACAGTACTTCAGCCAATGGACATTGCAATGGAGTGGATGCTAAATGTGCACTTTGTTTGATAGTAACACATCAAATTAAGATTGATTCAGCAAACCACTTAAATAGGATTTAAAGTATCACTTTTCATTTAAGGAACTAGAATCAATTCAAGTTCGTTAATGACTAGTTCAAATAACTGACCATTTTGTGAGCTTTTGCTGTAATAGCATTAAATGGCCAGCTATACTCATGAATGCAATCAGCTTTAGGATAAGCCTAGATGAGTAATTAAAGTTGTGGAGAATTGGCCAACAAATGTAGGATTTATACGTGTGTGGCAGTGAACATATGATAGAGCTTTTTTTGTTTTTATATTACTCAGACACATTTCCTCATTCTGTTTCTTAGAATTGACCATATTCAGACTTGTGTTGACCTCTGGATTCTAGTAGCAAGGTCATTTTTTTTAAAAAAAGTATTTATACTAAAGAATATTAGTGCGAAGTGGAAACAAGAAGGAAGGTGAGGCAGAGAAGGATCTATTATGGGCCCACTCATATGTAAATAATGGAAGAAGGACAGATTTGGCTTATAGAATTGTAGGTGCATGAGTCTGCACCAGTATAGCTCTTCCTAGGGTTAAATACAGCATTTTGCCCTACGTTTAGAATATTACATCTGAAAAACTCAATCTTTTTTTGAAAACAAGCAGTCCAGTTTTATGAACATTAGTACAGTAGTACTGTACTTGTATTCACCTTTTCCTTCCCTGACCTCAAAACACTGGCATAGCTTTACAATAACCTCATTAACTGGGTAAGGCTAAAAGGCCTGTTCACAGCATTTTTAGACCATTATTCCGCTATCCTTCTGTGGGCAGCCAAGGTTAGCAGGGATGTACTACTTGGCTCAATCGTTCTCCCATTGACAATACTGTAACTTCTCTGAAGCTATACAATTTACAGTCAGCTGGAAAAGGAACATAAGGCTGGAATTTCTTACATTAAAGTACCCTAGCTGCTATGCAAGTGGCTCCAAGAAATGAGGTACTTCTTGGTTAATGTCTAACAGAACTAAGTAACACAGGCTGGTTTCCTAACAACACAATTAGCCACATAATGTAGCAAGATGCATTAAAAAGTGGGCAATTCTGAAACCAAATCTGCACCAGCAGTTGCTTCTATTTACCAAATCTCTAGTTTGCTTCAACCTCTACTCCCTCCCACCCCCAAATAGAGGAGCTGTGAAAATAACTGCAAGTTATTTCCTCTGGAGCAGCCTTTCCCAACATAGCAGCTATTCAGATGTATTGGACTGCAACTTGTATGATCCCCAGCTGGCCAGCACACTGGTGGAGATGCTGGGAGCTGCAGTACATAATACTGTATCTAGATCAGTGCTTCCCAACCTTTTCCGAGTTGCGACCGCCTTTTATAATAGCCAAGTAACCTGTAACCTTCCACCATGTTTGCATAAAAAGCCATTTTAATGGGGTAAATAAACATATTAAAATAGATTTTCAAAATATAATTCTAAACTAATATATTAACGTAATAATACAGAATTATTGGTTGGCTGTAAATCTGCCTATACAGTTGCGACCGCCTTTTATAATAGCCAAGTAACCTGTAACCTTCCACCATGTTTGCATAAAAAGCCATTTTAATGGGGTAAATAAACATATTAAAATAGATTTTCAGAATATAATTCTAAACTAATATATTAATATTAACGTAATAATACAGAATTATGGGTGGGCTGTAAATCTGCCTATATCCGATAAAAACTGAGAAGGAAAAAAAGTCACTACACGTTGAGTTTAATTTACCTTTATGACTGTGGAAATGACCCTCCCTTCCTGTCTCCTCCTCCTCCCAAAAGAACCGCCTCAGTGAAGAGCCTGCCCCCTAAAGCCCAAATAAACACCTTCCCCATGGTCCCTGTCTCGTGCCCCATCCCTCTCCAGTTCTCCTCCCTCACATTTTCACCCCTCTTACTTGCTTTCTCCATGACTCACATGGGGCCTGGAGACATCTCCCTGCCCACATGCCCTCTGCCTTCACTGCATCACCATCGGTGCACTCAGTAGAGTAGAAGATTCAGGTGGAGTGAAAGGTGCTGTTGCCACGGTAGAAACTTTTCAACCCTGCTGCCATCTTGGGCGTCAGTGCTCTTGGCATGCACTGCACGCTTGTCTCATCCAGGCCTTTTTGAGCCAGGCTAACACTCGGGTCCAAAGGGCTAATGTGAATCCTCCAAAGGCGGATGTGAAGGAGCAGAGAGAAGGGAGTGACATTGGCTCTTTCGGAGGTGGTAGGAGTGATCAAAGGAAAATCCACCCAAAGAGGTACCGAAATAACTGAGATCTCTAGGTTACCTGCAATTCCAGGTGAGATACAAAATACCTAAGATGGGGACAAGAGGATTAAACAAAAGCAGCATTGTGTATACTGTATTTAATATAATAAATATAAATCAATTGCAACTAAAAATAAGTGCAGAACTCCCCCCCCCCCGAAAACCCTTCATGATCCCCTTGAGAGTCTCTAATCCAGGTTGGGAACCCATGATCTAGATGATACAGTCTGGGAGCATTACTCTGGAATATGCAGTCATGCTCCTAAATTAGCCTGCCCCCCATGCAGCCCAAACCAAATGTATGTGCAGCCCAAACCAAATTTTCATCATCTAACGTGGCCCAGAGAAGGTGAAAGGTTGGACACCCCTGATCTAGATGATACAGTCTGGGAGCATTACTCTGGAATATGCAGTCATGCTCCTAAATTAGCCTTTCAAACAAGTTCCAAAATAATCCCCTTCTCCTTGAAACTTGTGTTTCAGAAGGCAGTCCACTAGCTCTGGCAAGTAACTCATCTGCAGAGAATTATACTGCCCTTTCCCCAGATTCTCATTCATATATGTTGGCCTTGGGGTATCACAGGGAAGAACATGTTCTACTGCAACAAAGCTTCCAGATGGTAATGATATTAAGCCATCTTGCAGGGAACAGTTTCCAGGTGAAACTCATGATTTCAGGAGGCCAATGGTTACTCTAAAAAGCAAATGTGAAAATTTCAGTACCTTTTTCAGGCTGCTTTTCCACTTCTGGATTGAAGGGGAAAAAGCACCAAGAAACAGTTTCAACTTGGTAAGGGAACTGCTAATTGTTCAGAATGATTGCTCTAATCCTTTAACCCATTTAGTAATATTAATGAAGTAGAACCCTTTCCACTCCTTCTAAGACACCTCTCGCTACCAGCAGTGTGGTGCTAGAATGGTGTAGTAGAGAAAGTAACAGACACAGGAGAACTGGTTTCAAATCCCTCTTTGGCCACAGAAACTCAGCGCGTGGCATTAATAAAACCACTCCTGAAATATTTCTTATATTTTGAAAACCCTACTAGGATTTCATAAGTCAGATATGACATGACAGCATTACATGTTGTCCCAATCTTTAATAAGGACAAAAAAACTAAGGAACTACAGACTAGTCAACCTGACATCAAACACAAGAAAAATTCTGGAGCAGATTAAAGAGCAGTTACTCTGCAAAAACTTGAAAACAATGCAGTAATACCTAGAACCAACATGGATTTGTCGAGAACAAATCCTGACAGACTTGCAGATGACACAAAATTGGGTGGAATAGCTTAAACCTTGGAAGACAGGAACAAAATTCAAAACGATCTTGATAGGCTTGAGCACTGGGCTGAAAACAACATAATGAAACTTAACAAGGATAGGTGCAAGGTTCCACACCTAGGGGGGAAAAAACAAACAGTTACAAGATGGGGGAAATTTTGCTCAGTAATATTATAAGCGAGAAAGATTTTGGGAGTTCTACATCTAAAGCTGAATGTAAGCCAACAGTGTGATGTGGCTGAAAAAAAGGCAAATGCTATTTAGAATGCAATAGCAGAACTACAGACTCCAAATCCCCATGAAGTCCTAGTTCTATTTAGCACTGGTTAGGCCTCCTCTTGAGTACTGTGTCCAGTTCTGGGCACTATAAGAAGGATGCCAACAAACTGAAGCAAGGAGGGGAAGTACATCTAGTTTAACATTTCAGTGTCCACAGGGGTACAGCCATAGTCTGGCATATATCATCTGGCTTATGGGTTCCTCCTTTCACCCCTAGCTTAGCCCCATTTTGGCTGCTATACCTGTATGAGTCTATTTTCACAGGGAGAACAGGTTCTGGATGCAGACCTCAAGGTGTTCATGACACTGTATGGCTGGATTTCTAATTACTGGTTTATAATTTGATTGACAGTTATACAGCTATTTTTCTTTTCCTCCATATACCCCACGGGCTTCCTGGTAGGCTGCCCTGGAAAAAATGTGACTTAATTTAAATTAAAAATAAAGACAATAGCACCACCTGGTTTGTCACCCACTCCCACCTTATACAGTGTCTTTATACCCATCCAGCCACTTTCTATTTCTGGTCGCCTGCTCACTTCAGGCATTGGATAGCATAAAACACTTGACCACAGGAAACGGTAAGAAAACTCATGCCCTCAGGTGGCACAGCACACCGGGGTGGGGTGGGGGGAGAGAGAGGCGGCTACCAGAAGCGGGCACGACGACCAGTCCTGTTCCTCAGCAGAGGAGCTGAACTGTTGTCGTCGCTCCAAAATACCCTTTCAGGCTGCTCGGCAGAGACGGTTCCCCGGGGGCCGCTCCCTATTGCCGTCATTGCCCACCTGGCTTCTCCCTCACCGCACCCGCCGCCCGGCTCCTTGGGCATCAGGCAGCGCCACAACGTGCGTAAGAGAGGCATCCTCTCGGCTCCGCTTCTGCGAAGGCTACTCGGAGCTAAAGGCTGTCTTTGGGGAGTAGGGGGTGGGGGGGGGGGAGAGAAGAGCTCCTCCGCGGGTTACTCCGCTGGCCGGAGAGCAAGACCGACTCCTCGTCGGCCAGCCCCGGGAGCGCAGCGCTGGCTGCTATGGCGAGGAGGAGGAGCAGGAGCCGCGACTGGGAGCCGGTGCCCCGAAGCCTCCGCCGTCGCCGCTCCCACGCTGCCGGGCGGCGGCGGCGGCGGCTCTGGTTCCGTGCCAGTGCTTTTTTGTTTCTCGGTGTTCGCAAGGCCTTCGACGGTGCCTCACGGCTCTGGCTACGAGGTGCTGATCCAGAAGTTCCTCAGCCTTTACGGCGACCAGCTGGACATGCACCGCAAGTTCGTGGTGCAGCTTTTCTCCGAGGAGTGGAGCCAATACCGCTGCCGGGCGGCGGCGGCGGCGGCTCTGGTTCCGTGCCAGTGCTTTTTTGTTTCTCGGTGTTCGCAAGGCCTTCGACGGTGCCTCACGGCTCTGGCTACGAGGTGCTGATCCAGAAGTTCCTCAGCCTTTACGGCGACCAGCTGGACATGCACCGCAAGTTCGTGGTGCAGCTTTTCTCCGAGGAGTGGAGCCAATACATCGACCTGCCCAAGGGCTTCCTGGTGAGCGAGCGCTGCAAAGTGCGCCTCGTCCCGCTGCAAATACAGGTGGGTGAGAGGGAGCCCGAGGAAGGACGAGGAGCCGAGGGAGCAGGAGGGAAAGCCACGTGCTTTCCCCCCTAACCCAGGAAAGGAAAGGAAGCCTTGTCGGGCTCTCCTCGCGCTCGGGTACACGCGCGCGCGCGCGCCCACCCACCGCCACCGCCACCCGGGAAGCGTCTCCTCTTCCTCACACCCACTGGGCTGCAACTGAGGAGGAGGAAGAGGCGCTGAAAGCCCCAGGGTGGAAAAGGTGCCACTTACCTGCCTTCAGACGAGAGCAGGAACAGTCCTGTCAAACTCTCGCCCCTCCGCATCCTCTTCAGGGTGGAGAAGAGAGCAGGATCTCCTTTTAACAGAAAGGACGCTAGTCATTTAATAGTGTTTTGTTAATCACTTTGATAAAAAGAAATATTATAAAGGAACAGACATGAATGGAGTGTTTAAATATGTGTTTTAAGAGCCCTTAGGGGCAACTCCTTGAAGTAGGCCAGTTGAACCAGTATAATGGAAGGCTCTGATTTGCCTCCTTAGGTTACCCAAGGAGTTCATGGCTTAGGGGTGGTAATCATATCCTGTCAGTAGTACAGTAGCTTTCATAAAATCCACTCTGGAGTATACTGGTTTCCAAAAATGGGGGCATTTGACACTTTCACTCTCACCATCATAAGTAGGGTAGGAAGAAACCCACCCAGGAGGAAGAGGGACAGACTGAGTTTGTTACCCTTGTAAATGTACCCACCTTACCACAAAGGGAGGAGATACAAAGTGCAGTTTTAATGTACATGTACTGGATAATCCAGAAGAAATAGCCCATAGCATTACTTCAAAAATTGATTGCCTATAGTGTGATTCAGAAATGGGAGAAATGTCTTGAGACAGGCAGGAAGGCATGCTATGACGGTCAAGAGGCTCAGACAACACACGGATTTCTCTTGGATGATGTGCAAGGCATTTTGTTTGTTTGAAGAAAGGGCAAGCCACTGTTTGGCAGCAGACCCTTATGGTTCATGTGACAATTCTCTGGAGCCTCTTGAACTTTCTAAGGTCTTTTAGGTGGGCATAAGGAGGTGGACCCAGGAGAGGGATAATCATAATGCTCCTATATGCATGTGGCATTTTGGGTCCTGGCTCTGAATGGAAAACATTTTTCATTACAAAGGGCTGCATAAAAACATGCTTGAATGGTCAGTTCTGAAAGAGAAAAACACTGGATTACTAAACTTGGATGTAACCTTTTGATTCTAAGCTACTTAATGCCCTTTTAATCTGCTGAAAGCACTGTTTTCATGATCTCATATTCACTTAAACCGAAAATCATGTTCTGTCACTAGTAAACAAGTATTTCCCCTGCCCCCCACCCCGCCCCGCCTGTATTTAATGGAGTTTGCAACCAAACCATTTTTTGATTTAATGCGTGAGTAACAATACATGGCTAGGAAATCTGTCTTCTCAGCTGTACCATATTTGGGAACATTGGGTGAGCAGAAACTGAATTTTGTTGTAGCACCTGGAGACTCTCACTTGAGGCACTGCCTCTGTTAGTCAAGCATCCAGACATGACTTAAAATTAATGGTTTAACGTTCTGCTTTGCTTCAGTGCCTTCTAAAATGGGCTTCTGTATAGCAGCAGTTTCAGAGATTTAGCTTACCCTATTGTTCCAGTAGTAACCTCTAGATCCTTTTGACTCAGCAGAGGTTCTTCCCATGTTCTGAGCACGATGGCTAAGGTTGAAGAGGAACACAACCATTTTGAGAGTGTTGAAAGTGATTTGATAATGCCCCCTCTGTTTGCATCTCCAAGCATATTTCTTGTCCTGTTCAAACTCTGGGGGAGAAAATAACTTCTGCAGGTTTTAATATGATTTCAGGGAGAAGCCAATTGTGGGAAGTTGTCTGATATTGCCAACACACCAGCTTCCCTTCTGGTCCCTGGAACAGTTTTGTAGTATTTTGCTACATTTTGTTGTGGCTTTTTTTAGTGGGGAAAAACTTGTTTTATTTTATTTTTATTTTTTGTCACAGTGAAGAGTGAGTGTATATACCAGTTGTGGGAAAGATGTGTCTCTCCATGCAGTACTAGATTGCATCTACTATTGACGCTAGCCAGTTACACCAATGGTATGACGAGACAGAGATATATTACAATGGAAATATACAGATAGATAGATGTGTGTGTGTGTAAGAAATATAATATTTTTGAAAAATGAAGATCTGGTCAGTTTTTCTGTTGCCCAGGGAATGAACTAACAGAGTTCCTTGGCACAGGAGAAGAAATTTAGGAATCCAGCATTGATGCAGAGTGCAAAATTGGGATCCCACAACTTGTGAAGAACCTACTGTGGTTCCCTTTAGAACACTGCCTCAGTTTTCACCCTGAGGTCAGATAAACTGATCTTATTGGTTTGTTGTTGTAGGTTTTTTGTTTTGTTGTGGCGTGTTCTTGAGGTTTTTCTTCCTAATGTTTTGCCAGTCTCTGTGGCCGGCATCGTCAAAGGACAGGAGTCAAAACTCTGTGCTCTGATCTTATTGGCCTTGCATTTTTAGTTATTTGCTTAGATCATTTCAATTTGAGTTTTAAAATTGTCAAATGTAGCAGTTTCTGTATGTTTTTAAGCTATTATGGATCTGTTGTTATCCATGCTATTCGGTTTTGCTGTGCTTGTAAAACTCTGTAAATGCCTGTTGCCTTTTAAACCTTTAGTAGCTGTGGAACGTTGCCTAGATTGCACATTGGAAAAATTGCATGTAAGAGTTGTTCTTAAAGATAATGGCTAGGCTCCAAAGAACTGCATAACCAGCCCTACATATTTGGAAGGGCTTTGGATGTTACAACTTCTTTGTTCTAGAACAGGACTTGTGTATGGTGAGTCATAGGTATATGCTGTTCAAAGAAACAATCAAATATTACAATGGAAAGATACAGACACTTGGACTCATTTCAAGTGGGTATTTGGATGGCTGCCACTATGAAATACTTTTCGTTATATATGATCAGGTGATGATTTGTGATAGTTTATGATTTTCTTTTTTCTCAGATAACTACTTTGGGCAATCTCACACCTTCAAGCACTGTGTTTTTTTGTTGTGATATGCAAGAGAGATTCAGACCTGCTATCAAGTATTTTGGGGATATAATCAGCGTTGGACAACGACTGGTAAGCATTTACTTTGTTTCTTACAACAGCAGCTGCTACCTAGGGGTTTTTTCCCCTTCTGTTGCTATTGTTTAGATAAGTAATTTAAGTCTTGTGTGCATTTTTCCTCTTTGCAGCTCCAGGGTGCACGAATTTTAGGAATCCCAGTGATTGTGACTGAACAATATCCCAAAGGTCTTGGAAGCACAGTGCAAGAAATTGACTTGACTGGAGCTAAACTTGTCTTACCTAAAACAAAATTTTCTATGGTACTCCCGGAAGTTGAGGCGGCTTTAGCAGAGATTCCTGGAGTACGCAGTGTTGTTTTATTTGGAGTCGAAGTAGGTTCTTTATTATACCTATCTGTCTTGTCTGTCTGTCTGTCTCTATCCATCCATCCATCCATCCATCCATCCATCCATCCATCCATCCATCCATCCATCATCCATCCATCCATCCATCCATCCATCCATCCATGTCCTGTTGCAATGCTACTGTTCAGATAAACATTAAATACTGATTTTAAAAGTAAAGTATTAAACTTGCATTAAACAACAACCATTTTGTTTCTTTTCCATGTCTGAGAAACTGGAAAATACGTGAATTTATATATTGTCCTGTAGTCTTAGTTATATTGTCTTGAATATTCTATGTAATTGCCAATAAAGTTAGGGTCTTTTGTTTGTTTGTTTTTCTTTTAAGACTCATGTCTGCATCCAACAGACAGCACTGGAATTGGTGGGCAGAGGTCTGGAAGTTCACATTGTGGCTGATGCAACCTCCTCAAGAAGTATGATGGACAGAATGTTTGCCCTAGAGGTAATTCCATTTGGATAGTTATGTACATAAAACTGAGTTTAATAAGCTTTAGACTATAACAGAGTGTTAAGTACTGTTCAGACTTTTCTCAAAGTTTTGTACTGCATAGAAGAGAAGTGGTGAGCATCTGTTTTTCCATTGAAGAAATCAATATGCATGTTAAGAACTGAGTTTTTATTTATTAAAAACATGTTTGCCACATTCTAGCAATTGTATTTGGTGCAGTCTCTTTGAGAAGTAATTGAGTAGTGCTAAAAGTTCAGAATGTCAGGAAAGATTATTGAGGAGCTGTTGGATATTGTCCATGTGAACGGTAAAGAAATTGACCAGGCAGATTTTAATCTTGCAGGTGTTTTTCTCAAAGTTTTTCCAGAGCCTATAAAATCTGAGTAACTCTCATCTCTTGACTGAACAGGATCAACAACAGCTAGCAAACCTTGCCAATGTGTTTTAGAAATGAGAGGAGGGTTAATAGAAAGTTGGTATTTAGTACAAACAGTTACACTGATTAAGTACAAGCTTAATGTAATCTGTTGTATAATGCTTATGACGTACAAAGAATATAAGGACAACAGCCCACTGGATCAGATATAAGCCATGTAGTAGTATGTTCTATATGTAAGTTGTACCTTGGATATTGGGAAGAACTTGATTTTTTTAAAAAAAAATTAAAATATTTCATATGGTATACATATGAAGCTCTGTGTTCAGTGTTAGTAGAGCAGAATTATGCAAAACATAATACAGTATAGAAATCTTGGGTTGAATTCACTGTTAGCCTCCGTTAGAATGACCCTACTAAAATGAGAATTGTTAATTCACGTACAAAATTTTGATGGATTGCAACAAATGTACTCTAGTTGAGACCAATATTGAATATAGAACTTTATATTTGTACAGTGCAACAGTTCATTATAATTTGCCATAACAAATAGCCAAGTATCCCATGAATCTCCTAAGAAGATTTTCTGATAATTCAGTTCAACAAAACTGATTAGGTTGGATGGCAGAAGCAGTTTGCTATTTAAAATGGACTGATAATGGAGTAAGCTGAGGAAGTTCTTAGAGAGTTTGAAGACAAACTCGATGAACAACCATTACTCAAAAAGTATTTTCATTGTAAAGAATGTTTTCATATTGGGATAGGCAAGATGTGTTTTTATATGTTTCTTTCAGCAGTAGATCTGATAGTAGTGCTGTCATGAAATAAAGATGCAGCTGTACTATTTTTACATCATTGGAAAGGACATTGATGTTCCTTCATTTAGCCTCTACTTTTGTTAAAAATCAAGTATTTGGAATGCTTAAACATTCTTTTTTTAAAAAATCGTCTTGGTCACATTCTTGCATAGTTAGTGCAGCAGGCATGTTTAGGTACTACATTTGATCTAGGAGCATTCTGTTGAATTCCTCAACCACTGTGGCACCATGTCGACTGTGGTGGCACTGTGGAATACTTTAGCCATTTGGCAAATCTATCACATTGAGTATGTTGAATTCCTCAACCACTGTGGCACCATATCGACTGTGGAATACTTCAGCCATTTGGCAAATCTATCACATTGAGTCAAGCTTTAATTGTTATTTAGATTAAGGCACAAAGTCTATCATGGGAACACTGAGCTTCTAGTAGAAAGGGTGTTGGTGATAGATTGGAGACACTATCAGCAGCAGGCTGGATACAGGTCAGTAGACTTAAACTGAATCATGAATGTAGACACTCTTTGGTCAGGTGGTTTTCACATCTAGAAAACTGGCATTCAGCTTACTCTGGATAAGATTGCTTTTCTTCTGAAAGAACATATATTCAGTCTGGAGATGCTCTTTGATCTAAGATTTTCACTTCAAACCAAGCTCACCAGATGTGACAATTTCTGGACACAAAGTCTCTCCATAGGAGTTCATAGTCTAACTTGCAGACTGGATTATTGTAATTTGCAACCATGAAAGAAAACCTATATGCTTTAGTTGTTGCAGAACTTGATTTCCCAGCATCTTGACTGTTAGAGTTGTTCATATCACAGCTGTTGTAAAATAATTGACTTGGTGGCATCCCTATTTCAACATGATTTAAGGGACTTGTGCATACCTTTAAAGCCTTAAACAGCTTGGAGCCCTAGTAGAGAAGGAGTACCTCTTCCCATGCCAGTTGGCTCATTTCTTAAGATACTCTGTTGAAGCCCTGCTAAGGTATTTAATAGAGGCACATAATGACTGAAATCATATTGCTTAGCATCGTATGCCATAATTAGAGTAGGTCCATTGAATCATTTGGGATTTGGTAAGTCAATTCCTCTGTAACTTCATTAGATTTGGTGAGTCAATTCCTCTGTAACTTCATTGATTCAAAGGGCCTGTTCTAGTTGCAACGCTAAGCAACAAGATTTCAGTCACAGTATTCAAAGAGATCCTGGGGCATATTGGTCTCCAAAAGAATTGATGGGCATTGATACTCTATTTTTTTCTCACACCAGGTTAAAGCCAGGTTAAAGGTATTTTGGCAGAAATGTCATTCTGACAGTTTTTAATCTTCTAGTTTGATTTGTTTTGCTTGATTAGTTCTTATTTATAGTTACTGTATTTGCTGTTTTTATTATATTGCATTCATACATTTGTGTGACTAGTTTTTTATCAAAGCTTGCGTACAATATGCTTCAGTCTTTTTATCTATTTATTTTTTATAAAAAATTTTAATTTAAGGGTAGACAGTCTTTTGTCAGCAGCCCATGGAACTTAAAAACAGTTTTTTTCCATTACTCAGCATGTTTTGCTTGATTAGTTCTTATTTATAGTTACTGTATTTGCTGTTTTTATTATATTGCATTCATACATTTGTGTGACTAGTTTTTTATCAAAGCTTGCGTACAATATGCTTCAGTCTTTTTATCTATTTATTTTTTATAAAAAATAGCTAATAAACATACATTAATTTAAGGGTAGACAGTCCTTTGTCAGCAGCCCGTGGAATTTAAAGATTAGTTCTTATTTATAGTTACTGTATTTGCTGTTTTTATTATATTGCATTCATACATTTGTGTGACTAGTTTTTTATCAAAGCTTGCGTACAATATGCTTCAGTCTTTTTATCTATTTATTTTTTATAAAAAATAGCTAATAAACATACATTAATTTAAGGGTAGACAGTCCTTTGTCAGCAGCCCGTGGAATTTAAAAACAGTTTTTTCTATTACTCAGCCAGATGATGCAGGAAAACTAATTGTCCAGAGCTGTTGTTAGCAGCACCCATATAGTGATATTGCTTCCAATGTCACTATTTTACTGATGCTCGTAATGGAAAAGTAGAAGTCTTGAAGGGGATCGCTTGTGGGATTTAACTGGACAGAGTGGTAATATCAGTCCTCACTGTCTCTGGCTGCCATGTGGCACCCAGATAGTATCCAAATTGGCCCTCAAAGGCAGAAATATTGCCTGTTGCATTGCGTTAACATTATTCACTCTTAGTTTTGTTCCAGACCCTTGTTAATTTACAGCTAAGTAATCAGCAACCCCTCAGAAAAGTGATAGCAGAGAAAACATTTCGATTGGTGTAATGGCCATTCATGTTTATTTCTTTTACAGCTTTGTTTTACAGATTTGCCATTCTGTAGAAGAAGCATATGTAAAATATGCTCCTGTTGGATTGTTTGATCCTTATTTTGCATAGATTCAGTTTACAAAATTATACTTGGTACTTGCTATTATTGGCAAAATTGCTGCTCCAGATAACATTATACCATCCCAGATTCACCAAGGAGACACCTTGCTCCCCTTTTTTGAGAAGAAGCAAGAAATAAATCTATCTTTGCTTGTTTTCTTCACCAGAGAGACTTCTTAGAACACTCTCATGAATGCAAAATCTTCCATGGGAGATGATCTCTTGCTTCCAGCTCACATTTAATCTCATCAAGGATGCAGGCAACTGTGTGCTACTTAAAGTCCCAGCGATTTGGTCCCTGTCTAGTTTGTTCTAAATTGTACTAAAATACAACCGAAGTTCTTTCACCACACTCTCAGTTGTGTTCATCTTATTTCGTTCTTAAGGAAATAATGAACCCATTGTATATTGTCACTAAGATGTCTATAAAAAATAGTTTTATTGTTCAGATGTTACTTGCTACGTAGACAACATATACTCATCTCTACATGGTTTTGCTTTTTCAGCGTCTTGCTCGGACTGGGATTATTGTTACCACTAGTGAAGCTATATTGCTGCAGCTGATAGCTGACAAAGACCATCCCAAGTTCAAAGAAATCCAAAATCTCATTAAGGCAAGTGCTCCAGAGTCAGGTCTTCTTTCCAAAGTATAAAGAGGACACTTAAAAAAACCTTGGCAATGAAGGGTTAAAGTTACAGTACAAAATCACATGAATGCTCAGTCTCCAACACATGCATGTGTGCTTACACACACAACACATACCCCTTCTACAAGTTGATGTATTTGTGCTTGCCTTAGCAGAATTTGTCCGATTATGCTGTCCAGGTGCCACTGTATTCTGTTAGTTAACAGCTCTTTAAGGCTTTAAGTACATACTATAGGATTAATTTGTTGTCAGAACAAAATATTAAAAACAGAGGTGCCTGTCTGTCTGTACTGTACCCACTGATTGTAATACAGCTCAAAAAAGTGCATATTTTTGTGAAATCTCTCTTGATTGTACAAATGTACTGTGGCATTGTTTTACTTTTTGTAACAATTATATAAAAAGATATAGATACATATGATACAATGTTTTGACATTCTATAAATGGATCCATATTTTAAATAAACAGAATATGCATATACTTTTGGGAAAAAGTGCTTGCTTTATAAATAAATAAGTTAAAGAAAGAAGCAATATATAAATGTATTACAGATGTATTAGATGTTTTGGTAGGTAAGCTAACTAGGCTGATTCTTGATTATTCAAGCCCTTATTACTCACTGCTGTTCTGGTATCCTTTACTATAAAGTTCTAAGTGGAAAGAGTCTACCAGTTCATGTCATCTTACAACTCTTAAGCACATTTGTCTTCATATTAATTAGAATATATGAATGATGACATAGTGGGATATTACCATAATTCTCTTGTACACAATTCAGAGGAAGATGCTCAAGCTTCTCATTTCCAAGTACTAAGATAACTTTTTTTCTGGATGTGTTGTGAGATTTATTTTTAATCTGGTATGTCTAGATTTAATGAACTTCATCTGACTTTTGCATTAGTTCAAGTGAAGCTTTGGGTGAAAATCATCAGTTTTATGCAGGATTTTGTAATATGTATGCTGAGTAATCCTCAAGATGAACCTGGTACAGAACATTTTTTGGGAATGACACCTGTATCTTCTATGGTTGGAAATAAATCTGAACAGCAGTGCTCTTACTTAAACCAATTAATTCATTTTATGTGATTAAAATTGTTCTGAGGTTTGTACCAAGAATATATGTGGCTTTATAGAAAAGTATTTTGCAATATGACACATAGTACTACAGCCTTTTCAAAACATGTTGGAAGGTTCCTAAGTTTCTCACAAATGTTGACACTAAAATGATTTCGGTATGTTTGAATAAATGCAAATGTTTACTGTGTCTAATTACTATGTTGAAAAAAATGCTCTTTGTCTTACACTTAATGTGGGCCTTTAAAAATCTTGTTGCATCTCTCAAGCCCCTCCCACTGTCTTGAGGAATTTGGTCCACACATGGATTAGAACCATTAGTTTGCACTTGTTTGAAGAAAACACAAACCTGTCATACTTTAGAATGAGCACAGTGTGCAACTGGAGGCAGACAAAGATGAAAGAATTGGAAAAAAAATCATTGTCCCACATTCGTGACCTACTTTTGATATCTTTTTCTGTCTAATAATCATGCTGTCAAGCAGAGCAAAGTTTAAATGAGCAGCTGGAAACAATGCCCTACCATCAACTAGAAATATATGCCAATATAGTATACTGTTTTAGACAGATCTGCTATCAAAAAAATTGATTAGAATGGGGGGGGGAAGCAAAGTGTACTATTTACTGCCCCATCACATTTGTGGATGGTTTACAAGTTAATTATGCGGGCTACACATTGCCCACCACCACCACGAGTTGGGTACTCATTTTACCGACCTCAGAAGGATGGAAGGCTGAATCAACTTTGAACTGGATGCCTGGAACTTAACCTTGGCTTGTGAGCTCAGTTTTAGCTGCAGTACGGCAGTTTAACCACTTTGCCACAAGGCTCAACTGTGATTTTCCAGACGTTTTTGGACAGTAGCTTCCATAATGCTGCACTGTGGGCTGTGCTCATTAGGACTGAGGGGAATTGTAGGACAGAAAGACCTGGAGAGACATAGATGATTATACCCACTCCTTGATTAGAAGTAGGAGGTTATTGGCATGCAGAGCTAATTTGTTCTTGGGTATGCCTTCATGAGCATTTCTATAGGTTTTTACTGTTTTATTTACTTTCAAAAGTAGTTTACTATGTAGCCTGAAGAGCTGATTGAAACCTGAGCCAAAAACATCCATAGGAGCAGTTGTAACTTATTGTACTCTTGGGATTATTTCATAAAATGTAAAGTACTTCTCCATCCTTAACAAATATAATCGGAATTTCCTAGAGATCTTCCATGTTACCCTGTTTCCCCCAAAATAAGACCTAACCTGAAAATAAGCCCTAGTATTATTTTTCAGGATGCTCATAATATAAGCTCTACCCAAAAAATAAGCCCTAGTTAAGTGAAACCCCGCCCTCCCATTGTGCTGCAACCNNNTCCACCCTTGTGCAGCAACCAGATGACATCACTGTATAATAAAACATCCCTGAAAATAAGCCCTAATGCATTTTTGGAGCAAAAATTAATACAGTATAAGGCCCTGTCTTATTGTCGGGGAAACTCTATCAAACAGTTAATAGCTTGAAAAATTAATATAAGACCCTGTTTTATTGTCGGGGAAACTCTGTATCAAACAGTTAATAGCTTTGTACTGGGAGGCAGGCAAGTGACAACTTTAAGATTGTTTATATAAACATCTTTTTCCAGAAGAGGAAAAGTGTAATTGCTTCTCTCTCTCTCTCTTCACTGTTACACATGTAGTAAGACTGCAGACTCTATGCATAAAAATGTACTTTATACAACTCTGGTTCCCAGCCTTGGGCCCCCAGATGTTCTTGGATTCAGACTTTATACAACTCTGGTTCCCAGCCTTGGGACCCCAGATGTTGTTGGATTTAGAAGCTCTCAGAAGCTTTTACCACTAGCTGTGCTGGCCAGGATTTCTGGGAGTTACAGTCCAAGAACATCTGGGGACCCAAAGTTGGGAAGCACTCTTATACAACTTTCCCCAACATGATGTTCTCCAGCTGTGATGGATGAACATCTGGGGACCCAAAGTTTGGAAGCACTCATACAACTTTCCCCAACATAATGTTCTCCAGCTGTGATGGACTGCAATTTCCATTACCTTGCTGTTGGCACAGGCATTGGGCATGCTGTTTGTGACATGATGGGAATTGTATTTCAACAAATTTAAAGCTGCTACATTGGGGAAAGTTGTTCTTATATAGTGACAAAAGTTACGTCAAATAATGGGAATGCTTGTGGGAAAGGTATTGTCCTTAGTACATAATGGCCAAAATCCTGTTGCCTATTTACACCCACATAGTGCAAGCAGCATAATACTTGGAGACAAATAGCATCAAGTACAGTGGTACCTCGACTTACGAACGTCCCTACTTGCGAACAATTCGAGTTACGAATGGCTTCATTCACAAAAAGTTGCTTCGACCTACAAACGGAGTCTCGACTTACGAACCAAAAGATTCACAAAAAGTTGCTTCGACCTGCAAACCAAAAGAAAAAAAGGGCAAAAAACCTTTCCTGCCCTTTTTCTGACCTAAGTTCATCTTAGGTCAAAAGAATTTTTTAAAAAAAAAAAATCACCCCCTGGTGGTAGAGTATGGATTAACCGGCTTTGCATTAGTTCCTATATGAACTAATGCCTCTACCTGCCAACAGCGCCTCGACATACAAAAGAAAAACAGATACGGATTAAATGGATTTCAATGCATTCCAATGGAAACGTTTGCCTCGACTTACGAATTTTTCGACGTACAAACGCCATCCCAATACAGATTAAGTTCATAAGTCGAGGTACCACTGTAGAAAAATCACATTAGATATTATCTGATGCATATAGAGTCTTGTGACTTAGGGCACAACAGGTAATGTTCTGCTAATATTCTGACTTCAAATAATTAGCTTCCAAAAGTTAAATCATTTGTGTACCTATGGAAGAGGATTTTGGCCAATGTTTTATTTCTCAATATGTCCATTAATATTTAAGCAGATACGTTAACTCACATCCTATAGAAAATATTATGGGTTCCCCCTCCCCTAACTACTAATACTAACCTATGCTTGTTTAGTCTTGAGCTGAATCCCATTATATTCAGTGTAGGGTAATTCCGAATAAATGTTCATAGGATTTGCAAACCAAAACAAATTAAAAACTGTGTTCACAAAAGTGAGCTATTGTGTGCTGTTTGTTTTATAAAGTGAAACTACTTTATATTCATTCGTTTGTGGAATGTTGGAAGCCTATTAAAACATTCTTTAACATTGAAAATAAATTTTCTTGATTAATTGGACAAGTAAATCTTCATGTGTAACAATGATTTCCTTGGACTGTAAAAAGCAGCTCTTTTTGTAGTGTATATGCTTCTTCAGTGACTTGCTGATAGTCACTGAACATGCCATTCTAGGTATGAAAAGTTATTTTTATAGCAGGAATGTTCACATCTTAAAATCTTAACTTGCATTTTATTATTATTGTTCTCAATCACTTGTTCAACTGAAAGTTTAATTCTAAAATTAACATAGTAAAGTAGAAGAAGCAAAGCCGATGACAATTACAAATAAATAAAACTAACCTGTGCTTGGTGATTGTTTAAAAATATTCAGGGCATTTTACAAATTATAAACCAACATATTAAACTCCATTTCCAAAATAAATTCAACACTGTAATATGATTGCTAAATTAAACCAGTCTTTGTACAGATCTGTTAAACTTATGCTTGATGAAGTCCTAGTATTTGACCTCCTAGTTCAAGAAATTTATTCCTGATAAATTTTAGACCTAGTTTCAGAGAGGTAGTAATTCTATCTGAACTGTACCACTTCAGACTTCAGGAAAGATGTGAACCCTCTTTCCTACAGAGAAGTTCTCCAAATTAAAAAATAAATGGTGTGGCATCAGAGGCTTCCACATGCTTTCTTTCTGTAGAGAAAATGTGATGCAGTCATCTGAAGCTGTTTATTCTTATGATCCTTGATGGGAAAAGTGCCTAACCCATGTTCAAATTTGATATCTTTATGATTTAAAATTATCTCCAGAAGAATGTTATGCAAATTAAAAGTGATTTTAATTCAAATAAATGGCACAGGCAGAGGAAGGCACAATCTGAGATGGAAAAACCCTATTTTCTGATGTTCTCTTGGAGTTGTCCCAGTATGACAGAAGACTGAAAGAATGACATTTTAACAGCCCTCTCTGCTAAATTTTCTTTGTCTGTCTTCCTTTCAGCAACCCCACACTGGGTTAGTTTTGCTTCTTTGGAATGTGTTGGGGAATAGGAGAATTTTGGATTCTGTGGGTCCAAGTCCTCCCCTCCTTTCCCACTATCTCGGGGTGAACGTGGTGACATTATGTCAGATAGTCAAGAACAGTACAGAGATTTGACCAGGTTGGTTTTGCTTTCCAGTTTCAGGGCCAAAACATATAAAGTAGGCAGCTATCCAATCAGGAGGGGGAAAGGGGGTGATAAAATGTAGGTAAAGGTTCCCCTTGACAATTTGTCCACTCGTGTCTGACTCTAGGGGATGGTGATCATCCCCGTTTCCAAGCCATAGAGCCAGCATTTGTCCGTAGACAGTTGCCGTGGTCACGTGGCCAGCGTGACTAGACATGGAACGCCGTTATGTTCCCACCATGGTGGTACCTGTTTATCTACTCACATTTTTACATTCTTTCAAACTGCTAGGTTGGCAGGAGCTGGGACAAGCGGCGGGAGCTCACTCCATCATGTGAATTCTAACTGCTGGTCTTTAGACCTTGCAGCCCAGAGGCTTTGCGGTTTATCCCGCAGTGCCACCACATCCCTCTGATAAAATGTGCACCTTTGCAATTAAGAACTAATAGTATCATTTGTAGAGGTGCATTCATCACAGCTGCCGTATTTGCTCAATTAAGAGCCTTTTGTTTCCTTCCAGTAACCAGATATGAAACAAAAGCAAGCTAATTTTTAATTTCCAGAGTTGTGAAAGACCTAGAAACGGTGGCTCTCAACCTTGGTCTCCAGATGTTCTTGGTCTACAACTCCCAGAAATCTTGGCAAGCACAGCTTTTGGCGAAGGCTTCTAGGAGTTGCACTCCAAGCACATTTGGGGACCCAAGGTTGGGAACCACTGCCCTGGAGGATAATCACACCATTTTACCATTTAAGCTAGCTTATAATGCAGACCTCCCTGTCTCATGTTTTGGCCATTGGGTATGTCCTTACAACATCCCAATGGATTTGGGGTCCTCCTAGGGGCCATAAGATTGC